CCAAGAGGCTGTGTGCTTGCTGGCCGGGGAGTGCAGGGAAACAAGCCCGAGGACGCTCCGGGTGAGGGCAGGGTAAATGTGGCCCTGGGGAAAAAGAGGGGCGGTATGAGTGTGGCCCCGCAAGGTGCAGTATGAGAGAGACCACGTGAGAGGTGGTGGAGTGAGACAGGCCTCAGTGAGAGGGAGGTGGTACGAATGTGGCCCGTAATAGGGCAGAACGCGAGAGGCATAACACTGTCCTGAATTGGGCCCAGCCTCAGGCTGGAGCAGAGCACAGCTGTTAGAAACAGCTGCGAGGCTTGGGATTCAGTACAGGGGTGGTTGGAGCTGCATTCATAGGCCCAAGAGAACAGGACATTCAAAGGGCAGCGTCCCACCTAATTAAGACCCTAAATAGGTTAACAACTAGGCATGGCAGGCAAGAGAGGTGGGCAGTGCTCCCAGAGGCAGGTGGGAGACTAGCACTGTGGCTGGTCAGGGAGTTCCCACTTTGCCACAACATGTATTAAGCCCCTGCACATTTTAAAATGGTTGCACAGGTACTTTGTCTAAATCTCGTCAAAAGAGCTTTAGACAAAGTGTCCCATGGCCATTTTAAAATGTGCAGGGGTTTAATACATGTGATGGTGAGCCATTTTAATTAGAGCAGCTGTTCCGGAACCACTCTAATTAAAACAACCCCTCCCAGTCCCAAGCACATGTATAAGCAGCCATTTGTTCCATGGGGGGGCAGGGTTTATGCACACTCCTTTCCATAAGTAGGAGTTGTGAAAGGAAGAAGTATGTTTGGTTGCTTCTTGGAAATAGCATAAGTTGAGTCTTATCTAACTTAGGAGCTGTGAGGAGATGGAGCATGTTTAAAAAAGTGGGAATTTGTGGGGGTTTTAGCTGCTAAACCATTTAAAACAAAAACAAAACACACCAAGCTTGTGAAAAAAGAGGTTTTTTGTGGGCTTATTTTTCCTGAAATCTGCAAAAGGCACAGGTCTGACACAAGAGTACCCACCTGCTCCAAAGTATAGGGGTACTAGAGCACCTAAAAGAAAAAGCTACCAGACTTTTTAACATGGACAGTACTACAGTATCTTTTTTCCTTAAAAATGGCCAAATAATTTTGGCTGATATATGCATGCATTTGGCTGATGTATATCATACATATGCATATAAGTATATATGTGTGTGTGTATATAACATAATAGCCTGCCACAGATGCCTGGCATGGAAAATTTCAGCAGAAACTTAGTTTGGCAAAATTAAGCAACTGAAAACAGGGTGTTATATTGAAAAGTGTTAATCACTTTAAAAATAGGCGGTGTTACCAGCCTACCCCATAACTTGTCTGTTACATTTCATTGCTTGGTCCTGAATTCTCTCTTAACTTGTGTCTGCCCCCCTCTACATGTGCAGGTAAAGACACAGTGGGATATAATGAGCAATTCACACAATCATGCCTTCTGCCGTGCCACACATGCATGGTAGGAGGCACAATTGTGGGATTGCACATTGGATCCCATCACACCTTATTGCAGGTGCAGCCCAATCCCAAGCTTCCCCAGCACCAGCAAGATGCAAGCTCTTGCAGCTGGGAGCTTCCTCAGTTACAGGGCTCCCAGCTGCAGGGGCACCCTATGCACCACTGAGGCTGGCAGATAGCCAGAGCCACAACCCCTCTCCCCCCTCAGGGGTACACCCTGCACCTGCTGGGACCCAGCTGGATCCCAGTACTGAGAGGCAGGGACCCATCATCCACAGCTGTTGGACTCCAGGTCCTGGCAGCTGTGGGGTACTGCTGGGACCCAGAGTTCACAGCTGCTGAGGCTGAGTGTCTCCAGCAGTTGCAGGACTTGCAGTCCCAGCTGGGCAAGTTTCACCTCTGTGGCTAGGAGCTGACAGGGCTCCCAGCTGTAGGGGAGACCCTGCTATATGTACATATTAAAGCTTGATAGCAACCAGTTATCAAGTTAGTACCCATTTTCGAGGTCTAACTTTATAGTTGGTTGGAGCATTTTATGGCTTGATAACTACTTTGCATATGTAGCTGGTCTCAAGGTAACTGTTCAATTACCCAGTTAATTGCGCTATACCTATAACATGTAGAGGGGGCCTCTAATTCCATAATGGGTTGACTACAACTTCTAAATGTGATCTCAAAAATTCTGGAGAGATGTTTTTATCTTTCATGAAATTCCATAAGATATGCTCATGTCAGAAGTTTTAAAGTGTTTTTTAAATATTCCTCTTTGCATAAGTGCATGTATTTAAACAGTCAAATACTTGTGGATTTTATCAGATGGTTTGCAAGTGCTGTGGGTGTATTGTGTGCACTAAATAATTTCTCCTTAATTTAGACCAACTGTAGGTGCCAGTCAGCATCTTATAAAAAGAAACCCTTCATCGTCTCCTTGGAAGTACAAGTTTGGACTTCTTTGCTAGACAGAAAATGTATGTTGTTTTGGTTGGCTGCGACAAGTTGCTTTTTTCACTTATAGTTAAGTAAGGTTTCTTTTTTGATTTGAGAGAAGCATATGAACAGATGATAAATCTTCAAGGGTTGCTAGAGTTGAGCATTCTGACAAGACCTTGGATGACAAGCTTTGAAGACATCTTCCTGCCTGTTTGGGTAGACATGACTTGTGTGGTATGTGAGGTGGGGTAGAGTGAATCCAAGCATGTGAACATATGCTTTCACTATTGATAAATGCAGACAGTCCACCTACAGGCTTTCATAAATAAAGTTGGAAGTTTATAGATATGCCCATTTTCTGTAACTTCTGTAAAAAAAAGTCCATAGTTTCCTTTTTTGACTTTTGTATGTCTAAAACCAATGTTAAAACACAGTGCTGCAAATGGTATAACTCCACTGTGAGCAGCACCTGCTTCAGTTTTATGATGCAATTAATTGTAAAACTGGTTTTACTTCCTGCTCTTATTTTGCATGGGAGCTTTGATAATAGCTCTATAATTAAGGCTGCATTGAGCTTTTTGCCTTTAACAGCAACTTGTAACCTCTCTCAAGAGTCAAAGAAGTCGGGAGCTTTAAAGAGAAAAACATGATAGGATTCTTAAGTATATGATTTTTTTAGAGCATTTTGGTCACTGGTATGTATTACTGGAAAAAAAGAAAAGAAATAAAAGTTAAATAATTTTCAGAAATTTCGCATGGTGCATAATTTTAAATTTTAAAGCAAAAACTATATCGCCTACCATCTTTGAAATTCTCCCAGATGTCAATAATCCCTCCTTGTGTTACAAAAACCCCTTCTCAAACATTTGGTATTTCTCTTAAAAAACTATAAATTTCTGCTTAATTGAAAAGAACACCAAAATGTAGTTGCCAAACTGAAGAGGGATACAACCTTTGGCTAAGGGTGCAATGGGCTGGGAGCCAGATTTCCATGAGTTCAATTCTTACCTCTTCCATGAACTGTTTTTAATGAAACTACGTGTTCTTCATAGTTCTTATTAAGTAAGGCTTCGTGTTTCTAGCTCAAAAAGGCCGGTATTATTTTCCTCCATTTTGCAGATAAAACAACTGAGGTCATGAGACATTGAAAAAGGTCTCCTGTCTCCACCTGTGGCAGAACTCAGGATAGAATTAATTTGCAACCGAGGTAGACCGAGTTTTGTCTATTTAACCACGCTGTATCTCAGGCAATTTAGGCTTCGGTCTCTGTAAAATGGGACTATACTGCATACATGTATATACAAACTGTCAGGTGCACAGGTGAATAATATTGCCTCTAATCACTCACTCATATTGTTTGTCTACAGAATGGTCTTAAAGCATTGGACTGGAATCCAGGAAATGAATTCTACTTTTAGTTCTGCCATATATAAAAAGTATGGTGCTGAACAAGTCAGTTAAATCAAAGTGTTCAACAGTGTCCCTTTCATGTTATACACTTTATTTTTGTTATTTGGACTAATTTGAAATTATTAAATTGTATTTGTTTTTCAAACTAATATTAAGAGAAGGAAAATGAATCCTAATATACACAATAATAAGTATTTGGACTGTTAGCATAAGAATGCATTATGAAATAAAATTCCTCTGCTATTTTGTTCTGCATTGCATTTTTTAGGTCCTTTGCATATGCTCCATACTTGAGAGGCTGATCTTTTCTACTAGGATTAGCTTTCTTCCTTTTGGTGGACATTATTCAAAAGTTGTTGGTATGCAATAATAAAATAAAACATTGATATAACTGTTTATGTATTTCTCCCTGCCTCCTTCAGTATTGCTTTCCTGCAATTATGCACACATGCATGCACAGTATTAATGAGGGGAATGTACAGCATACATATACACACAGGGCATGTCTACACGTTCATTAATACGACTTAATTACAGAGCATTAAGTCTAGTACCTGTAATGATAAGTACTAACTTAATGCGCTGTAATCAGTGCAACTGCGCATTAGTACAAATGAACGGTCTTTTTGTGACATTAATGCACAATAGACTAAATCTACTGGACATTAGCATGGGTTTTGCCTGCCATACTAACACACAGTAGAATTAGTCTACTGTGCTCGAAGTGTCTTGTGTAGATGCACCCACGAAGTAGTATTGAGGGGAATATAAACATGCATGTTGTCTTTTGCACTTAACCTTTCCAAATGCCTTTTAAAAATCAAGGAAATTCAGCAATAAAGAACTTTATTTTTAAAAGTTAGGACCCCTTAGCAACATACAGACGTTGCTTTTTTCACCATTTAAAGTACTTTATTGCCGTGACTTAAACAGAAGTGAATGGCTTTACAGGACTTTAAAAATGGGTACAGTGCCTTAAATTAACCTTTTTTCAATGAGGTATTAAATTTGAAGTGCTGTATTTTATAGCACTTTAGCAACCTACAGCACTTTAAATAACTTCTGTACGCTGGTCAAATTTCTGACCAGTAGAGAAGCCACAAGAGGCTGTGAAGCACCCCTCGCCTCCTAGCTTAGAAAGTGCAGGGAGGCTCAGAGTCCTCCCTGTCCCACCACCTGCCCACCAAACACTGCAAGTTTGTCATGTTTAAAAGCGCTGTAACTTTATAGCGCTATAAAAAGTGGTTTAAATTACAGCACTGTAAAGTATGCATGGAGCACTTCTGTACATGCCTCCATGCAATCCCCTAAAAAGCAGAGATGTCCAGCTGAAGTATTCTTTAACTTGCACAGTTTCCATATTCTACATCTCCCATGTGTACAGTAATATTATAGACAAACCACATTTGTCACAGTTGTACTAAAATGTAAAACTTCATTTTAACCTAGTATTTCCCCCATGGAAAATAGTACTCAATGCACTTTGTCTGTGAACAAGTATTTATAGACAGATATGCTAGTATGGCTGAGGAGAGCAGTCTGTAAGACATAACTTATATAGTGATCTCAGTTGTCATACTTAATATAAGCCATGACACTTTAGAGAGGTGATTGATTTACCATTTTTAAAAATTAAAAGCAGTTCTCTTCTTACTAAAAAGAAATTCAACAATCATCATGGAGACTAGTATCTTTTTTTTCTATGAGGATCTGGAAGGTTTTGGTCTAACATTTTTGGACCCTTTATAAACAATTCAAAAGGGTGCTATGCAAAAAGTGTCCACTCCAAGTATTTTTGAGATGCATTGTATACTGCATTTAACATTTTCATATTCATGTATATACAAATAAATATAATCTTGGTTGCATTGCAAGACTTGTTTTCCAAATATAAAAATTTTACCAATTTTGGTTATGAATTAGCACTGTGTATTACTAAACTAATACCTCATTTACAAAAGCACTGTTTCTTGATTTCCCACTGAATAAGATAAAATTTAATGAAATAAACAAACATCTGTCAGATCTTCTGACAATTGATAGCAGCATCAGAATCACTAAGTGACTTAGGTGACAAGCTATACTGACATGTTGCGTTTTTATTGCGGTCCTCAGTGCATAAAGATCTCGTATTAAACGATATTTAACAAAGATTCGTTCTGTTTGTCAGTTCCATGACATGATCTGTGTGAATGAAGGAATAATGTCCTGGTGTCAGCTGAAGATGAGAAAATTGCAGTAGATATTACCTGTCTTAATAGCACTGAACTAGTCTGTGGAGTTGTAGAAAAATAAAATTGCATGCTTTATCATCATGCTGCCAGATGGGGCTTAGGCAAGTTCATGGAGAAATTCACGCACTGTTACTCAGTAACTGATGGGTGATGTTAGGGAAAAAATCACTTATGAGGATTTACTACATTTGTTCCCTCAGATCAAATGAATTTCTCTAGTTCATGTAAAATGTTATTACTGTCATGTTTAACTACTGTGACTTTACAACCATGAAACAGCAAACAGCAAATTACTTAAAAAAAACACTATGAAGACATCATTTTGGCCTGGAAATTCATA